ACACCGAACATTTTGTACGAAGTTTCAGCTATTTTTTAATGTATTCGTTTTACGAATACGTAATATTATGGGTACAGATATTTCACTTATTCAGCGTTTACACAATTTTAAATCACAGGATTTCCTTGTTGTTTTATCTCCAACTCGCTTCGATCGACTCTTAAATTCGAAAGAAAAATATTAAATATTTTAAAGAACAATGATCAAACTGCGGTTACTCGTAATGTACAAAAAAAGGAATATATAAGCTGGAAGTCAACTTTTTTCCTCCAGCAAAAACATCTTTTATTTACGACAAACGTAGAGATGTTTGATCAAATACTGTTGCAACGTGCTTCAGTAGAGTATAAACTCCGGCAAAGTTTCTTAAACTCGCTAATAAACAACGGAACGTTTTGAAAATAACTTTACGGTAGCAACAGGAGTAGCAAAAAATCAACCTTGAGATGTTCCCATAAATAACAATCCGAGAACGAAAAAAGTTATAGTTCGCGGAGGAAATGTTTTCTGGCTCATTTGGGACCCACACGATCCTTTCCTTTATTCTCATTAATACTAAATCAGAATGTTTCCGACAAAAACTCCTATTGGTCGCAGATTTTTATATCGAATCAGATTCTCTATAACTTTGGTATAAAAATTTTGATAAACAGGAATTAACTTTTAATCGATTGAAGCAATTATCTGATGAACAGAGTTTATTAGTTAAATGAGAGAATTTGCGATAAAATTCAGAGAAAATTTTTAGTTGAATTTAGTTGAATTTAGTTGATACTAGTTAAACTGCTAACAGTATTATGTTGTTAACAGTAAACTGTTTATACAAATACCAAAAAGCTATTTCCAAGTCGACAAGTTTTGTTGGTCACAATCCCGGAGAAATCCTGTTCAATAATTGAGACAGGTTCACCATTCGAAGCTGGATTCAAAGGCTTGCTGGACCTTGCCTGTTAAATATGCATCACACCGAGTGCCGGAATATTTGAAAGTCCTGCGTCCATTAGGCAGCAATATCGGTCAGAGAATGAATCGTTCAATTAAGTTCGTACCCTGGGAAAACGCGTGGATTTCCATGGGATTTCCACATGTTCAGGTACACGCTGTTCTCTCGTTAAGTGTACGAGCTGAATGTTACAGTCCTTGACCGCTCCATGTGCACGTATTGAATACACTCTACTTCAAATCGACTAGTTCAAAAAACAATTCAATCGATATTCACTCGTATCGTTTTATTACAATATTTTAAATATCAGGAAAAATTTTGACATTTACGTATGATAGTATGATGTGTGAATATGAATGTGTGGATATATGAATACTTATGATAGGTATGATATGTGAATATGAATATGTGAATATAAGAATACATATGATAGGTATAATATAATTTTGACATTCACATATGATAGGTGTGATATGTGAATATGCATATGTGCATGTATGAATACCTATGATATGTATGATATGTGAATATGAATATGTGAATATAAGAATACATATGACGGGTATAATATAATTTTGACATTCACATATGATAGGTATGATATGTGAATATGAATATGTGAATATAAGAATACATATGATGGGTATAATATAATTTTGACATTCACATATGATAGGTATGGTATGTGAGTATCAATATGTAAATGTATGAATACCTATGATATGTATGATATGTGAATATAAGAATACCTATGATAGGTATAATATAATTTTGACACTCACATATGATAAGTATGATATGTGAATATAAGAATATCTATGACATCTTTGATATGTGAATATGAATGTGTGAATATAAGAATATCTATAATATCTTTGATATGTGAATATGAATATGTGAATATAAGAATACCTATGATAGGTATCATATGTGAATATGAATATGTAAATACATCTATAACGTCCTAATACGTCCACATGCCCGTAAAGTTCCAAATTACAGAAATAGACTGCTTAAATTTCCGTCCAGGAATGCACAAAAATACATAAGTTTGCCAAAGTCTTCGCAACTTTCTTACAACTTTCTCCATCTAAAGTATTTCGACAGCAAAGTTTCTTTTGATACTTTTTCCCAGATTTTGTGTAGGTTCGGCCAACATCACCTTAGACATTTGGTAACGAGTGTGAACCCACGCATTATCGACTACTTTCACTTCCACTCATCGATCTTCGACTTTCCACTTTACACCTGTTTATCCCTTCTCTCGTTTAACTTCATCTCTGTCAGAAAACTGCTACAAAAATCGAGGAATAAAGAACTGTTCCAGTCAAGCAATCACTCTGGATCAGTGAGCGGCTTGAACATTTTCTGAGGTTTCAGGGTAATGAAATTGCACTCTGTAATGTTACACTTTTATTTTGTTAGCTCGTAAATATTATATGTGGTGGGGAATTTCATTATGTCCTAATTGTACTTTTCATTTGTTAATTAATGTCACGTCGTGAGAAATTTTATTACTTTTTTAATAATGCATCAAAAGTTAGTATGTCACTCTTTTAGCAAATAAATGAGACATATAAATGATATAATCGTAAATTAGTATTTATTTTCAATTGGTTTTTGTGAGTGTGATACTTGTCTGCTGCAAATTAAATCAATTAAATATTTTCCATGGGCGTTAAATTCTTTTCGCTTCAAAAATAACTCGCTCAGAAATATGTATCAAAGGACCAATTTAAAAGCATTGACTCCATAGACGGAACAAGCCAGCAGGATACCAATTAGCTTTTTTGCATGAATAAGCGCTACAATTATGGCACACGAAAAAATGGACCATTTGAAAGATTGCGAAAAGCTCTGTTAATAACCCGTTATTTTTGGCGATCAAATGATCTCGTTTATTTAATAAACCTGCAACTATAAATTGCTTCAGATATTATCAGATTGTCAATTAAAATTGCAACATTCACCTTCTACAAAATTGTTAATTAAAGTATAGCTTTCGATTAAATCTGAACTATACATTTGTGAATTTTTCTGACGCAAAATATTTATGAAGAAAAATATTTTATATACATCAAAATATTTAAAAAAATTTTGAAATATTTAAAAATTACTATAATAATAATTTTGAGTTGTAATTTAAATTAATATTTAATAGTATTTCCTTCCGTAAAATTTATTAAAAGATGAAGATATAAAGTAAAAAGGAAAAAAATTGAAGGAGCGTTTCAAATTTCGCGGGCATCGAGCGAGAAAGTTTATTAGTTGCGTCGCGTTAATATCGTCCCACGAAGGTAGTCGCTTAAAATTTACCATTTGCAGAAGACTATGAGCTTCCTATCGAGCCGTACTCTTACGAGGCCAAGGACGATGCTACCACATTGTTCCGCGTCTTTAATATGACGTAGGATTGTTCCTTTCGCTGGAAGCACGGTATCTCGGTTTACCTTTTTCGTGTTTCCATTGAAAACAAACGGGAAATTACGGTACATCGGGGGAGCAGTGGAAATATACGCTTTTTCTCCCGTTTTCCACCACCTTTCCTCAGAGATATACTACTTAGAAAAGTTTCTCGACTTCACTTTTCACCGTGGTTCATAAATATCTTCTTTACGATATGATAAATTATCCTGGCATCTCCTTTTTCAACGTCAACACCGTTGTTATCAGTTTTTTTTTTGTTTACACTTTCTCCGCGAACAGCCAATAGCAATTGTTCATTTTTAAACAACGCATCGATCCTTCGAAATATAAATAGAATTGATGTGTGCCAGTTTCGAAATAAACTTATCGCCCACGCGTCGCTGCAAAATACGGAGATAGTAAATCGTACGCGCACGTAAACCACGGATGCTTCTTTATTTATGAAATGTTTGAATGGAGATTTTTTAAAGTTGACCTGCACTGCTCATTACTAGAAAAACTCGAAGATCGTATTCGGATGGATAATTACACGCTGCAACACAAACAGCCATTTTCGGTGCCGTGTTGAACCTGCGGACTTGTATTGCAATTTCGAAATTGAAGAACTTTGAAACAGTAGTCAGTAGACTGTTACAGGGACAAACTTAGTCCCACGAAATTACAGAGCACCACGTTATAGTTCGCTTTCACAAGGATCGAAGTTTCTAATTGCGCGCACGAATAATCCAGAATCGGGAACTTCGATTGCATTATACGTCTCTTCAACAGGTAAACCTTTACACGAGTAACTTGCAAGTTACATACTCCCTTTAATTGATTCTGTATTTAGCTCATTGATCGCCAATCCTGATTAAAAATAATACCGCCCTTGTCTTTGCGTTCAAGGACGCGAAGTGTTTTCTATGTTAAATAAACGATTTTATTTTTGTACTCCTATTTTATTTCATTTCTCAAGATTAAATCACCAAATTATTAATAAAAATAGGCAGACTCACCTGACACGAGTTGCTTCTCAATAATACATCGAATAAATAGATATTTAATCTGATTGTATAAAAACTTAATTTGGGACAGGTAAATAAGCAAGAAGGGCCGGAAAATAATACGACTAAAAGGGTAACGCATCGTGAAGAACATTAACCCTCTGATCCTCAGGGGTTAAAACTACGTGATCCAGAGTGGTTCGAAAACAAAAATCGCCAGCGAGCTACATGTTCACAGATAATTCTATAAACCATTTAAAAGTAAGTAACGAATAAAAGAGAGATTTGCGATGGCAAACTTTACGCGTATACGCAGCATTAACGAGCGAAGGCGCTTTAGAACGTAAAAGAAAAATGACTGAAACTTTATTAGGCTGTCAAAGGGTTAAACGTTTTAAACGCGTCGAGAGCGACGTGTATATATATATAGCCGAAGCGTGGCAGTATATCTGTATCTTCAAACACCTGTTAGCAGTGGCTCGTGTGGGCGGCTCGCCACATCGGCTTTAAATTCTCGCTGCGATTAAACCCGTAGCCCGCTTCCTTTCAAAGTACATAATCGTGCCAGTTCTCGGATTAATCTCTGGCATAAGCATCGAACACGTTCTTCCGACTCGCATATTGTTTACACGTTTGATAAAACTTACCGGCGTGACCTTGCACGGAGTAATTGGCCTCCTCGCTGGGTACCACGGTCTCCTCGAGGATGCTCTCGGAAGCGGTCTTCACGACACCCATGTTCGGTCCGAGTGATCGTTGATTCGCGTCGATAGAGGACGGTGTTACGCGTCGAATGCGTGCAGGACCAAGTGAGCCAGGTTCCACGACGATTACCTCCGGTTGATCGTGCCGCGTTGTCTGCCGTTGCCGGAATGCTCGGCGCCGTTTCGACGACTTATTGCGTCTGCGTTCGCGCCTGCGTCCTCCCCAGTTCCCTTGAGCCCTCCATCCTGTGCCTCTTCCCTCCTTGACCCTCGCGTGCGTGCCATCCTACCCCTCTGTTCTTCCTACTTCGCTCACCCTGTCTCTCCTGGTCCCTTGGCCGGCAGCAACACGTTACGGGACGGGGAGCAAGGCGATCCCTAGGCCAGGGTGAACGCGGACGGCTGAACGGGGTGGTGGTAGCTGCCGAGGCACGTCCGATCGCGACGGTAGGGGGTTGCTTCGGTCGCTTCTACTGACGCCACATGCTATACCGCTTTCTCTCTCTATCTCTCCTTCGCTCTCTTTCCGTCTTCCTCGTGTTCCTGGTGCTGCTGCTGTTGCTGCTGGCTGCTGCTTGTGCGCCAGCAGGGCGGGGTGCGGTGAGTAGAACACACAGGGGCAATGTCGACCAACTGGGTCTCGGTGAAGGTCTCGGCTAACAGTTACTCGTGTCCGATAATGCATCCTTTTTGCCCGGTCTTCCTTTTCACCTGCAATTACGCTGAGTACACCTCACCGATTTCGCTGATATTGATATACGCGTTACGGAGGTTAACGTCCGGAGTAATTTTTATGCTCGCGAATCCTCTGGAATTAGCCATCATTTTTCCCCCGTTTCTGATTATTAAAACAGACGTCGCTGCACGTGTGAACACTGGAATTCCTCGAAAAAGGCTTTTCGAATCAAGGTCGTTTCATACTTCCGAGATGACATTGTTTCGGATTTTGCAGAGTTGACGTCAGTACTTGTTATTATATTTACCTACATATTAACGATTTTTGATTCTATCAACAGAAACTTTGAATTTTGTTTTTATTCCGAACTTCTGTTGCTTGTAAAAATTTAGGGCATTGATCGTTGTAACAAGATTATCAAAGATAACGAAATATGTACACAATTATTCTTCTATCTTGGAAAGAAAAGCAAACGTTTATTACTGTTTGATTTTCTTCGAAATATACTACGCTATGTGTCCGGCTTTTTTGCGCTGGATACCGTGTTTCGTGTAGTTTTACCAGGATAGTTTTTGTCGGAAGCGATACCGTTTTTTCAACGGGAAATCGCTTCATCCGTGTAATCCCGTTCGTAAACAACTCGTGTTTCTGCAAGGTAACAAGGTATGACTCGATTTCTGCACGTGTCCTTGATATTGCACTGCTGTTGAAAGAAGGGTGTATGAACTACGAGTTTTAATTATCGCATCGTATCGCTGCAGCGATCGACGGTTTCTTATTTTCCACCCCAGTTCGATCAAAAGTCTTCAATTTGGTTGTCGAATAGATTGGAGCATCGAAATAGGCTCATTATTGTTTCATGAATATTTTAAGTTCGGAAAAATTGAGGATTAGGACGTATTTGCATCGTCTGCGGTCTTGGAAATAGACCTGTGATGACGTAGATGTCTGCCATACCTAATTAGTGTTAATCATGTTAAACACGCTTTAAATACATGCTCCTGTCAGTGCAAAATTTGCAACCTTCTTCAGATTTAACGTTCTTTTCCATTTTCCAGTTTTAAATTGCTATGAGACCAAGTAGATAAACATAAACATTCTCTTCATGTAACAAGTTTAATCAAGGTTGTTCCACGTGTTAAGCTGCTCGGATCACATGTAAGGTTTATGGAGAAGGCTCCTTTGCTGAATTAACAGCTAGAAAATTGCTCGTATGCTCTCAGAATGGGAATTTTTATATTTCTTGCCGACCACGTACTGGATCTTTCGCTGAACGCAGACTGTAACCTTAAGAGAATCGTTTGCAGAAAATCATGATCAACTATAATACACTATTACTGACCAATATTAAAAATCGTCAACTTATCGAACAACCTTCCGTATATAATCCCTATGCGAAAGATTTCTGCATTGAACTCAATGTTCTAAAATGTACCAGTTGTCCATTTCGTTTAGAATGCGCGCGAGGAATCGACAAGGAAGCAACCTTAAACCGGGATTACAAGAATAGCTGTCCAAGGATGAAAAGATGGATTTATTAATCGAGATATTTCTCGGGAGGTTAGACGCTTTCAATGCCATCTTTTATCCCTCCTAAAATCCCTTGGCATCCCTCGTCGATCTAGGCATTTCATCCTCATTATCTCCACTCTCTTTTTCATTGAATTTTTTGCTGTTGCATCGACGTCACGTGGGCCGAGGTCGCGCACTCCCTTGCTTAACCGAGCAGCCAAGACTTGTTGCACGCAAGCGAACAGTCGAGGAGCGGTCTTCTTTACGAGCTTTCCTTGATCTTGCACGTTTGTTCTCAACACGTTCCAGTATTAAACCATTCTTGCTTTGCAATGTCATCAAGAAACCAGAGGAACACTTCTGACCTTGAAATGTTAACTCGATCGCCACAGTGAAAACTGTCGTTTGTGGTCAGACTATAATTCTGATTATTAAGAACATGGGTATTTGTTCCTATGATTTCATCTTTTAAGTGTTAGTGTATGTCACAGTATGTATGTCTCAATTTAGTTGAATTTGTAGTGTTGATCACCTATGACCATAGTCAACATGTTAAGCAACTTTTCTGTATACGATCTAACAGAGATTTGTAAAATATTTGCAAGTTAACCTTCAGTCCCAACTGCGTTTTAAGCTGGAGACTGTAAAATTTCCTAACATACAAACACCTAAGTGGACCTTCGAATCATAACAACCTACATGGAGTCTCAGAGATTTATGAATGAAAATAAGATTAAATGAGACCGGTAGCTATGAACATAAAAATAAAAAGATGAAATATGCCTGGACTTTGTCGAGCTGCACCTACATGGGTGTTAATTGGTTAGGTCTGTCAAATTTATGGATGCAGCCGATTAAACCCGACAAGAATGGAAGGATTTCAAGGACCTGTTCGATTGATGTTGTTCGAAGGTCGGCTCGGACTGGCTACCTGCCAGTTTACCTCTTTACAGGCGTTCACGACAGGGAGGCGCAGCCACATTCCCTCCTGATTTTCGACACCCGCCACCCTCGCCACCGTTCGCTCCACTTTCCCTATCCCGCGACCTTCGGTTACGCCTTGCTCCCGTCGGCGGAGGCCTCGCGTTCCATTCTCTGCCTCCAGTTAACATCGATCCACCGATCTCGCCGCTGCTTTCGCCCGGATTCGTACATGCGTATATGGCCGTTGGTACACGCGTGCATCGGCGCAACTGGTGTAGCAACGATCGATTTGAGTTCATTGTATGCTGACGTTGCATCCGCGACTTTTTCCCCTGGGTTGCCTGGGACAACGCTCAATATAATATGTGCATGCACTTCTTCTGCGACCACGTGTCTTGGACCGGCGCTACCTGCGACACACCTGCTGAGGCGTGAAATAACTGTATTCGGTCTTCCTCTTTCGCATTCCCTTTTTTTGAAAATATTTATCCAATATTTTCGACGCTAGGCGTCGAATTACCACGCGTAGAATTGCTACGTGTCGAATTACCACGCGTAGAATTGCTACGCGTCGAATTACCACGCGTAGAATTGCTACGTGTCGAATTACTACGCGTGGAATTACCACGCGTGAAGGTACCACGCGACGAATTGCTACGTGTCGAATTACTACGCGTGGAATTACCACGCGTGAAGGTACCGCACGACGAATTACCACGCATAGAATCATTACGCGTCGAATTACTACGCGTGGAATTACCACGCGTGAAGGTACC